CCGGGGCAACCAAGCGAAAGCTTCTATTCTGAAACGAAGGCGAACTTAAAACCCCACCGCGTCGTGAATTGATCTATTCTAATATCTGGCCTCGACATCAGTTCCCTTTTCATATAATAAATAAATTTTACATAAATAATGTAATGTAATAATGCAAATACAATAAATACTATTTCTTGACATTTAATTGATTAATTAATGATAGTAACACTGATGGAAATATATGTTCGATTGTTTTTTAACATTATACAGTAATTTATTACTAATAAATAAGAATAAGAGAATGAACGACAAAACTTATTTTAAGTATCTATACAAAATTTATTTTAAGTTTTGCTTGCGTTTTTCGACTGAATATTTATTTTTCTATTAAGTGTAAACTGGCAACACTTTTTCTTTGATGTATGGTGCTTTGTGTCCTTTAACACCTTTTATTTGATGATAGAACTTACTGACTTTTTCTAGGCAATTTCAAACTGTAAACCCAACATAACAAGAGGCGGACTTGAAACCCCGCCGCCCCGATTCCACCAGCTACTCGTGACCTCCCCGGGCTGCTCGCAGCCCGGGGCAACCAAGCGAAAGCTAGTTTACTTATAAAACTGTATCGGAAATAATAAAATTTAATAAATACTTTCAAGTATGAATTTATTTTTGTTTAACTAAGAAAAAGAGAAATGTTACATTATCCTGGGATTTTTCTGTCCTTAAATACCTCATGTGCGTCTTGTCAGTCGCGCCCTCCCCCGTCTCACCGCCCGTCATACCTCAGGCGGTGACTAGAGTTTGGCAAGCGAAACGTGACACCACCTATTTTTCCGTTTTCATATGGCAACAACATAGAACTGTCAGTTTGACACTACGTTAGACAATTCAAGAATATTGAATTTTGTTGTTTTTGCGAATTTGAACTTGTGTTTTTGGTTAAAAATTATGTCGAAGCCGATAAAAAGTTCATCGAGGAAACTTCTTTCCATCATGATTGACAAGTTTACTGAAGTGAAAACTGAATTAAATAAAAATTTCATGGAGAAATTACAACGATTAGATAAAGTTGTATCTTTTTTAGGTTAGTTTTGTATTATAATTTTGATACTTTCGTTTTAATTTTCTGTAATTAACTAAACAGATATTTTTTATAAAATATTGCTCTATTTCAGATAACTGTGATGGTGATATTCAACCAATAATGGAGGAGATAAATGCAATAAAAACTTTAGAAAAACAAGAAATGCTGAATTCGGAAACGCAGTACTTACAAAAAATTTCTTCAATGACAGGTCTCTTTTCTTGTTTTGATTTAAGATAGATTGATAGTATTCCTATAATATTTACATAGATTTTTTATGATGTATTGGTTTTTATTGTTGACATCCAATGATGTCATAAGAATGTTTTGTTTAACAAGGAAATTCACAGAATTCATGAAACTAATCAAACCATGTAATTGTTATACATGCTAAATATGCACATAAACTTAACTAAATTAAACATAAATTGCATTCATAGTTGAATAGGTATTTAAATTATTTTGATGTATGTGTCTATCATTATTTGCTTTTAAATACATTTAACATATCTTTGTTTCAAAGTGTTTAATCTTTTATAGATGTAAGTATAAGGACACTAAGAAGGATAAAAAATGAAGCATTAATTAATAAAGGAAAATGGGACACTCCTGGGAAAAAACGACCTCATCAACCAACAGTGTCTGCTTTAGATAATTTTGATTTAAGTGCAATTCGGAATAAAGTAAATGAATTTTACTGTGTGAAAAAAATTGTTCCAACATTAAGAAGCCTTCACAATGAATTAAAAGATGCAATAGGATTCAGTGGTAGCCGTGAGACTTTACGAAAAATTATGCTTAAGAATGGATTTTCTTTTAAAAGCAATGAAAATGAACGTTCTATGCTTATAGAAAAATACCAGATTTCTGCATGGAGGCACAAGTATTTGAGAGAAATAAATATAAAACGAAACGAAGGAAAGCAAATTGTGTACCTTGATGAAACTTATGTACATCAGAATTATAAAGTTAAAAAGTCTTGGCAAGGACCTTCAACAACTGGTGTCACTACAAAGATATCCTCTGGAAAACGGCATATTGTTGTGCATGCTGGATCTGAGGAAGGTTTTGTGCCTGGTGCATTATTAGTGTTCAGTAGTAAATCCAAATCTGCTGATTATCATGATGATATGAACTCATCGAACTTTATGAAATGGGTCAGAGAAAAATTAATACCAAATTTAAGTAAGCCCAGTGTAATTGTTATGGATAATGCCAGCTACCATATAAAACAAATCAATAAACCTCCTATAATGTCTAATACCAAAGCAGATATCCGTAAATGGCTTGTAAATAATGGAATACATTTTGAGGAATATCAGACAAAGGCAGAGTTAATGTGTTTGGTTAATGATAAGAAAACATTGCCTGTATATGAAGCTGAAGAGATTTTAAAAGAACATAATCATGAACTTTTATTGCTGCCACCGTATCATTGTGACTTAAACCCAATAGAGATGGTTTGGAGTCAAGCAAAAAGAAAAATTGCAAGCAGAAACATTGGAATACCAGGAAAGGAAATGGAAAACTTAATAATAGAGTGTTTTAACTTAATTACCCCTAGTGACTGGAAGAAATACACTGATCATGTTTTAAATGTCGAAAATGATTACAAATTAAAAGATGGCATTGTTGAAAACGAACTTGAAAAATTTATTATATCTGTTGGTGCAGACAGTAGTGAAGAGAGTGACTCTGATGATTCCTTGTCATTGTTATCAGGTGTAGAATATTTAGAAACAGATTTTGACTATGAATCAGATTAAAGTATTTTTAGTCTGATTCATAGTCAAAATCTTATCTTAAATTTTCTATTGTGATTAACATGATGATTTTGTGACACCTGTATTATGTAATTTATCCATGGCACTTAATTGTAACAAAAATAAATGTTTTTTTTATTGTAATCTGGTGTTTATATTGACTAATTTAATTTGATAGATAGTGGTTCTGGATCAGAGCAAAAGGTTGTGATGAAAATCCCTTAGGAGACATGTATGTGTTATGAACACATTATAAATATAAGGGCCAGAAATCAAAATTGGCTAACATCACATTTATTAAAAAAATGTGGCCAGAGTCGCCCATATTCATTACAAAAAAACAAAGAAGTCGTTGCAAAAAACACCCTTTTAATTAATGACAAATATGAATTTTTAATATTATAAGTGCTGTTAGCCAATAGGTATAACGAATGGGTTAAAAAAAAGATTCGATTTAGTCCGTCAGTCAAATAATAGAAAAATATTGGATACGTATTTTTTTTCGCTTTAATTTAACAACAAATGGCTTAAGAGGTACTATGCGACGACTTCAAATATGCTTTGCAACAATGTTACTTTAATACAGTTTATCGATACGAAATCAAGTGTCAAAATGGAGTCCAGTGGAGAATGCCGATATTGACATTTCGAAATTGCTCATCATTGATAGAGAATACGAAATAGTGATTTTGACACAATCAAAGTGTCTATTTTTTACGGTGATGACGATTCTTGGTTGTCAGTTGAGTTAGTGAATAGGCCTACTGATATGCTGTTAACTGTACAATTAAGAACAGTCACGCTTTAGTCAAATGTTCCAAAACAAATAATTTTAATTGATATCTAAATGTTAAGATTAAATATAATTAATAAAAGTATCAAAATTATTTTGCAGTACTACATTCAGTGTTTACTGCTTAAGAATTTTTGAAATTGCCGCCCTTTTCTTGTGACACGTTTCGCTTGCCAGACTCTAGCAATCCCGCTCACACTATAAAAAACTGAAATTTGGAAAGTTCGAAACTTAGATATACGAAAAAGTAAAAATTAGTTTTAAAATTAATTGACTTTTATACATGAAAGAAAACCAACCAAATTGTAAAAAGATCTGTCAAATATTATGTAAGTAACAGATCGGACAATTCTACGTAAGTGCCCATACTCTACCTCACATTTATTTGAAAATCCATATGAATAAGCATGTGTATAAGTATGCTGGAGACAATTTTTGACATCGTACCTATTAGTGCTGGCATGACCTATCTACCCTTTTTTATTGTAATATCACTGTACACAAATCATATTATTAGCGACGCGAGTATTTCAATATATTTTTAAAAATAAAATATAGCATAGAGGTTTAATAGCACAAGTTCGAATGATGTCTCGGGTTTTTTCTTTTTGTTTCTTTGTAATTTTAATATGCTCTTTTTCAAAGGTCAGTAAATTAAATTTATATCAATAAATAAATTTTTCCTTTCAAAAAAACTACGTCGTTTTCTTTGTAATTCGACCTTATATTTACTGTGAGACTCGCGTCGACTACCGAATTTATAATCTCTTCTTTTGAAGTCGGTAAATAACGTACCTACTTCACAGGTAAAAGGAGTAAAAGATTTCTTATCCTCTATAAGTAAAATTGATGACGTTCTTTTAAACAACTTAAAAAAGGAGGCCGTCAGTTTATCTGAACATGTACGTCATTAACCGACATAAAAAGGTTTTCAATTTGACCTGTTTGTTTATAGCCGACCTTAAAACAAGTGGTAATCAATTTAACCTATATGTATATATTTTGATGGAATATGGCGCAATTTTCATATATATTAGTTTATATTATATGAGCTTCTAAACACGTATGCTATATTTTTTATGTATGTATGTGTTTATATCTTTGACAATTTATGTCTCGTAAATTAGACATGGATTGAAATGATAGTTTTTTATTTGATTAACTATTTTTCAACTTGGGATAAACATAAGAGTAAATTACTTAAGAAAAGTGTTATCAGAATAGCAGGTTAGGTAAGGTTAGAACTGCGAACTCCATAAAAACAAATTGCTTCAAGAATAGTGGGTTAGATTAGGTTGGTATTGCTAGGCGGGCAGTGGTCTCCTTTTGTGAGATGAACCGCCGAGAGAGCACATGAAGACACGACGGCCAGCTCTCAACGCCGCCAGAATGGGAGGGAGGAGTTGGCGTTATGCGCAACTCCAACCTCCGTAATCTCGAGTCCAGGGGTTAGGGCCTGCACCCTATACACATACATTAACACACCATTCACTTCAGACATAACATCGCTTACATATAAGAGATACCAGTGAGAATGACCGAGGGGCAACCCCCGGGGCGCCGGAATGGAGAAAGTCTGCTTAGCAGGTTGCTCGGTCACGGGATCCCGGGGGGCGGACAGGGGTATCTTAAACACATCAACACTAATATTATAAAGAGTAAAACTTTGTTTGTATGTTCGTTTGTTTGTAATGAACAGGCTCAAAAACTACTGGACCGATTTTAAAAATTCTTTCACCATTCGAAAACTACATTATCCACGAGTCACATAGGCTATATTTTATTTTGGAAAAATATAGGGTTCCGTAATATATTTGGGTTTTTCGGACACAAGGTGTAAAAAATCAACAAGAATAGTTACTTATATTGCGTACGCTGCCTAAACTATAAAAGATAGAATCATAAAATTAGAAAATCAATTGTAGATCTTATAAATATTTACAAAAAAGTTCGCGACACACTATACCTATCTATTTCGAGTGAGGCACAACAACCATTTTTTTATTAAAAAATCTTAAATTTTTGGACTATATTTAAATATTTGATCTTTGAATTATTAAAATTGGACGTTTGGTTTTGAAGTTATGGCGAAATTAAAACATTACGATTTCTGGTGCCCGTTACGAAGTAGGCGTCACCAATGCGGAGGTGCGCGTGCGGGAGGGGAGTTTAGATCTATGAGTAAGGTAGCGGACCACGCGGGCGAAGCCGCTGGCGGAAACCTAGTTCATAATATACATACACACGCTTATAAAATGGCATACTTATATACATAAATTCGTTTACACTATACAAAATACACTTAACATTTAAACAGTCGTCCTGCGCAAGTAGGAAGGGAATTTTTCATCTCGCTCCGGTAGTGGAGTCGTCGGGGCCGGGCTGCCGCACACACCTTTCGGTGTGTGAAGTGACCGGGCCCGGGCCGTGCCACTATTGGAGTCACGACTAAGGAACGGTAAACCGAAGACCGACTCGTCTTTGTTGGACTGGACATCGATGGTCCGGGGCTCTCGGAGTGAGGGATTCATGAGGGTTCAGCCCAGATGAATCCCAATACGAGACGGGTTAGGGAGGGAAATGCTGAGTTGTGCATTTCTTACCTTTGACTGGGGGCAGTCTGGTGGGTTTGCGCGCTCACCGGGCATTGCACGCCCGTTGTCCTGTCGGGGGAATTAGATTGGTATGTTCCTGAGCCTTTTTTCCCCAACTCGTGGTGGGACCCGCCCCGTAAAAGGAGCGGACCGGAATTCGGGCAATTGTGCGGGATATGAACACATTTGGGGTTGTTATCGTACGTCGTCGGGGTCTTGAGGGGCGTGGGTTTTAGTGGGTATGCCCCTGCCTTTAACTAGCCCCCATTGGGGGTGGGTTTGCAGGGGAGTCCAACATAATTCGTAGAACTCGCGCAGAGTGCTCTTTTCAGTCGTTTCTCTTTATTACGATTTTGTGAAGTTGGTTTAGTTTTTTAAATTGTTTTTTAATTCTTTCTTACGACTGAAAAGAGAGAAATTATACCATAAATTTTTTCTTCAAAAAATCATGACAATCTTCTTGAGGTTGATATTTTCAAGAAAAATACATTAAAATGTATGGTATTATTTATCTCTTTTCAGTTGTTTCTCTTAATTGTAATCTTTATTTTTAAATTATAAAAGACCAGACTTGTAAAATAACCATTTACTTTAAATTAAACAATGTCATAAAAAGTTACATTGGCTATAAATTAACACTGGAATGACGAATATTGACAGGTTTTAACACATACACACACATTTTTTTACATTTAAATATTACGTAATAAATAAACTAAATTTTGCCAACAAAAATCTCATTTTCTTTTTATTATTAATACTGATCTATTGTAATTTAAAACATAATAGGTATAATATTATTGCTATTAGTAGCATTTTATATCACAACCTTTGCTCTATTTTTATATTTATATAATTTCATATACCTATACCTATTGCTGTCATGCCTAAAGGTATGTAGTAAAAATCTCAATAAATTTCCTAGTGAAATATATGATCATCTAGCAAACCATGAAATCCTCTATAACTTTTAAAATAGTACTCATAGGCCTTAAATTTTTAAAGCTTCATTGAACATGGGTTACAACAATACTTTATTATCAATTATACTGCAGGCAAAATTCAATTGAACAGTGTTCAAACTAATTTTCAGAATAGAGGATATACCACCATTAAATATTTAAAATGTAATTATTTAGCTTTTTTCTTGCCCGCACGAACAGTTTCTTCTACCTCTTTGGACCAAACAGATTTATTTAAGTTTTCGCCTATTGTATAAAGACTACATGTGAATCCAAGACTGATAAGGTAAAACAATATTCTTATTGGCCAGTTTAGAACTGTGAGTATAGGATACACCCAGCTCCCTGTCTTAAAATAAATAAAGTGAATCCAAACTACGTAACACAGCATAAACATGCATAGTATTGACAAACCCTTCCTTTTTGCAGGGTACATTCTAAATGTTGAGAATAGTTCAATCATTGCAAATACCATTATGTTAGAATGCATTACATGATTTAGCCAAAGTGGGAAATATGGATCTAAACTTCTTGGTAGAATTAATTCACGGTCTACTGCATATATGCACCAAAATGTAATCCCAACAAACATAGCTAAAGGAAATGCAAGAGATGTAAAAATAGTATCCTTGATACGTCGAACTATTGGTTTATCTGAATGTGTTGGCTCATTATTTCCAAATAAGTCATTGCATAGTGCTACAGTGAAATACACCGTTTGTAACATCTGTAAATAAACATAAATCATTAATAGAACATAAAAACTATGAGACCTCAATGTTGCATTAGGATTGTGATACTTACAGCATTAATGAATGTTAAATATTTTAATTTACCACCAAATGGTGTAACTGTAGAGGATGTACTTGGTATTCTAACATAGATGAAATCATAATAACATCCATAACAAAAATGAAGTGCACCAATAAGATGGAATAATATACGTAACATCGTCGAAGTTATTGGCTGAAAAATAGTTTAGTATTAAATTTGTCTGAAAGCCGATGATCAGGAACTAGAAAAATTTTAAAGGGTTTGATAACGTTACCAACTATGCTGTTAATTAATGTTTTCAATTCAGTTGAAATTTAATTTTGCCGAATTACACACTAGTAGTAATTATCAAATAAGTTTCTGTCAATTACACATTTTAAACCTAAAATAAAAGGTCTATCTTTTCGAAATAGATAGACAGGTTACTTGTAACAGGCAAAGAGAATTTAAACACTCGTTTTGTACTAACCAGGCTTCGATCAACTCAACAATATTATAGAGTATACTGTTCTGTGCTGTGAATACAGTTGTATTGTTGATCGAAGTATCGAAAATAAATAATTATAGGTAATCAAAGAGTAATATATTATATATCACAATGTAGGATTGGGCAAAAACTATCGATATATCAAAATATCGATATAAATCAACGATATGTTTTCCCGCGATATATTGGCTTTCGATATTTATTTTCAGATATCAAAATCGTATCATAATCGATATATTTTTTAAAGTTCTGCTGTCTGCTCATACGTCGCATCATGTATTATCTTGAATTTTAAAAAAGGAGTAGGTAGTAGGCTGTATGAGTTTAGAAATTACAGTCTATATCCTGCTTGTCTTTTTTTGCTTTCTTTTTATGACAATGATACTGCTTGTTGGTTTGGTTGGTATTACTTAGAGTGCTTCTGATGTTAATATCAGATAAATACTGATTTGTTTGAATAATGTAATTTTTGTTGTGTTGATGATGTTGTGTTCTTGGATTTATGTACCTATTTTAAATAAGAAAACAGCCAGGTATCTATTAGCTTTAAAATTTCGAATATTTTAACAATTTTTATAGATAATCGTTTATTGCGCAAAAATATCGATATATCAATATATTTATGACAATATTTGTAGATACATTTGAAAAATATCGATACGATATATATCGATGTTTTTTCCCATTTTTCATCCCTATCACAATGAACATAGAGTGAAGTGGAAGCCTGTTTCTAGGGATGTGAAAAAATAATTGTTTATTAAAATCTATTATTTTCAGATTAAGCGAATTTTATTAATCGATTTATTGAACAAAAATAATAGATTTTTCAAAATCCGGCGGAATGACTGCGCTAACGCGTGATGTCACTTCGTAACACTCTCAGTCGGTACTTGCGGACACCTACAAACTTTGAAAATAAAAATGTTTTTCGTATAGCGAACAAAATTGTTATGAAATATTGTATTTTCCCTACGTGTACCACCTCCAGAGAAAAAACATCCCAAAAAGGTTGAAGGTTATGAAAAGAGCATATTCTCTCACAACCATTAGTTTCGTCAATTGTTGTGAAGATAATTTCGATGTAAGTATTGTGTTTATTATGTATACAACCAAAAGTGTTTTAAGCGATATACGCCTCCCGCAGTTAACCGACCGCACGCAAATAGCTTAGAATAATCACATAGTATGCATAGTTAGTAGTAAGACGAATGTTAATCGAATAATCATGGTGGGGGAACTACTCAACCGCCATTCGAATGCGCAATAGCACAATTTTCGATTCCGTCGATAGTTTTTTTCAACAATCGCCATCCCTACTCACGAGCAGCGAAGGACCGAGCGATTGAGAAAGCGTTTACATTTGTTTTAAAAATTATATATAAAAATCACAATTGGTTCAAAACGTTAGTTTTAAGTTCTCATTACGTACCTAGCCACACGAAACTCAGTAATAGATTAATATATGTTGATAGCCATCAAACTGAATATAGTCAGGCAGGGGTAAAGAACAATTTTTTTTTGTGAGAATAATTTTCAAATCTTTTTTACCAAAATACCACCAATTGGTACCTATAACACTGATTGTAAAGTCAAGTGTTACAAACTTTATTTTTTATTGATACATAAAAGAGAACAAAAAGTAAATATGATTTATTTATTTATTACCAGCATAGAAGTTAAACTTTCTTTATCTGGGGTAGTGCTTTTTTGTATGGCCATGGCCATATCGATCGATACTAGATATACTGGTGGAGGCTTATTTTAACAAAAACACGAGGATATTACGACTGAATTATTTATTAATTACATATATTTTTTATTACAGATTGAAAATTATATGGAAAACTTGAAAAAAAATCTGCCAAAAAGGATGATTTTTTTTGTCTGTAATCCATTGAATATATCAATATTTAAAAATGAAATAGAGAAAATGTTTGTTACCCTTGCTTATTAAACACGAAATAATCTAAACTGCCTTTATTCTCATTCCAAATTTTTTTTATTTTTATTTTAACAAAACAACTCAACAATTCTTTTAATATGCTGCTTTAAACATATTCTATTGCTGCACGTTTTAAGTTCTTACATTTTTTATTTATTTTCACTCTTTTAACACCCTGTATTTATTTTGAAGAATTATGTTGCCGCCTATACTGTACCTACTAAAAGATACGATTATATTTACATATACTGAAAATTTTATAATAATAATAATAAGTGTATGTGACCTCCAGAAATCTGTGATTAGGTATAATGAACTTCACATCTTTTTTATCGCCTTGGGCCCACCGATGATTTATGACGCAGACTGTACCTTCATTGTTTAAGATTCCCATTATAATGCGCTAAAAGTAACTTTATATATAATGTTTGTTGAAAAACAATAAATAAAATTATAAAATTATAAGTCTGTTTTATTGAATAGGAGGAAGTCTAGCATATGGATCCGATGCTTCGTCGGGGTAGGGCGCGGTGAAGCCAGGTGGATAGGGGTGTCCATACTTTGGCTGCGGCCGCGGTAATTCAGGCAGTGCACCCCGTACTAGACGACGCAAAGCAGCATTCCTGCGTCGCAATACTACCACCTCATCATGTAGACGTTCACGTTCTATTAGTAACAAAAATATCAAGCATTATTTTTAATAAAAGTAGGGTTTGCCTTTGATCAATAAACTAGAGACCATTAGTATTTTAGTATCGAACAATGTGTTTGTTATTTATTACTCCATCGTACTGTACTAGCGCCACTTGTCACGGAGTGATTAACCACTGGAGGTGTGAAATATTATTTCAACAAAAAGCTATTTTTGAGGCCACGCACAAGGTGTGGCGCCCAACGTGGGACTCATAGTAAGATAACATCTCTTATAGTGATAGCTCTTTTAAGTAAAAATGTAGATAAATATAAATTAATAAACATCAACTACGAGTATTGTTGATTCAGATAAATAAAGACAAAAAAATAAACAATCTGTAGACCAGTCAAGAATCAAAATCCGGTCCAGAGTCGGACTCGCGCACCGAGGGTTCGTTACAAATATTATACGATATACTTTCGATAGGTTTCCCTGCACTGTGATGTAACACCATCTACGCGTCATAAAGTCAGCCGTCCGCTGTCCGTCAGCGTCATTCGATGCTGACGGACAGAGCCAGAGATTCGTTGATACTGTCGATTTCACGTAATTACGAAACTAGTTTTACATGTACTGGAATTAGTTTCTTCAAACCTGTTTCATTCTGCATGACACTAATTTCACAATGTCAATAAGTTCCAACCTATCTTGTCCTATTAACAGTGGCGTAGAGTAGTAAAATTTCACAGTAAACAATAAAATATATTTATTAAATATTGGAACTAACTTATATTTTTAACGCAACTATAAATTTGAACCAAGTGAAAAGAGCACGGAATTTTTCATTACTTATTCTGTGACGAAATCGGAGAATACTCTTTCTTTAAATGATATTTGTAGTGAATGGCAACACCATCTATACTGACTTACAGGGATTCCCCGTAATTTATTTTGTGCTTGAATTGTTTATGACTTATAATCAGCAAGAATGACTTCTATTACATATATATTAAGTTCAATATTACTTATTGCGTCCCTTTAAGAAAGTACGTGATGCTTTAACAATTCAAAGAAAATTTTATTCATGGATATTGTTGTTATTTTTTTTTTTCCAATCTTTTGTTTTTAAAAGACAATCCTGCTTTTAAGGATACAAGTTCTGTGTTGCGAGGAACAAAGTACACCCAGACTAAGTACTGAGGCGACTGATACATAGCGACATCTAATTCATCGCAGTCACATCGCCACAACAATCGATAGCGAGAAAACTAGCATCGTCACAGCCATCGATAGCAAGACGATGCTAGTTTTCTCGCTATCGATTGTTGTGGCGATGTGACTGCGATGAATTAGATGTCGCTATGTATCAGTCGCCACAGTACAATTATTTGTAAATGACACGAAAAATTGTCATTTGTGGGGATCGAACCACAACACCCAATCCATGGGCAGTTGCATGGCGACAACTTAACCATTCGACCAACCGTGCAGTAAAAAACTAACCCCAGATAAAGCAAAATAATGATGACAGTTCTTGCCGAAAAAATCTTGTATTCTTGTATAAAATTAATGTATATAACGTATAGTATAATTATATCAAAAAAACCTATGAAATACCTAATTAAGAGGGGCTGACACCCACGCTACGCCACTGCCTATTACGTTGCTGATGTTTTACAAAAAACCTTATATTGTCTGACATGTTAGATGCAAGGGCTTATTGCAAAGTATGCTTATCCTGAGAATCTGAAATATATATTTTCAGAATTAAAGCCACTGTGTGCCAGTCTGATTTTCTCTTGTTCGGTTTTTTGCTATAATATTGTCGTACCTTGTAATATTGGCAAGTAATTATTTAAACCCGTCAAAAGGCCATCCCAGAAACGGTCTTTTTCAGGTGGGAACATGTTCTTCCACTGTGCCCAATACTGATCTATTTCATCTGTTTTAAGTTTACGTGATGGAGTATCAAAATTGGGTGGTTTCACGCTATCCCTGCAATCAATACATTTACAAATATTTAGTAATTTAACCAGCGACTTGATTGTTTCTCTAGTCACGTAGACTGAAATAATCTAATCTCATCCAAGCAGAAAAATAAGTATCTAATAATACTAACAGTAAATCGTATAATTTTTTCTTCTCAGGTGGGACGAAAACAGATATAAATTCGCCTAAAGCTGTCAATACTTGCATTGGTTCTATTTCTAGACAATGACCCACTGAAAAAGATAACAAAAAGGTAATTAAAAATTTATAACAAAATGAGCACCAACACGGGTAATATGACGAACTCGAGAACATTATGCCTACTACAAATGATTGAGTTTAATCAGATTCCGATTTGCTTGCCTATTAGGGCGTTTGTGCACTACACTGAATTTTCAGACCCGTTAGTCAAATTTCTTCCGGTCCGATATGTCAGGCCATGTGTAGGAAAAAACTCTATTCCGGTCCGAGATGGCGGCAATGAAAAACGTGTTTACGCATATGCACTGCTGTGTCCGTGATCCGGAAAATTCATGAGCTTGTGGAGGCTTGGGAAAAATAATCGATTTATATAAATCGATATTTATTTCGGTGATATTGTTAATTTCCGATATATTGATAATCGATATTTATTATAGACTGTAAAATTCAATATTTTATTAGGATGACTGATTTAAATGACACCGTAAAGTTCGTTTAGCATAAATTAATTTAGCTTTAATTTTCCGCTTACACGGCACTAATTTCGCTTTGTTTACGAAATGGCATCAACGATTGATCTATCTGTCGCTTGAAGTTATTTTTACAAAACTTCGAAGAAAAGTTGCACGAATATCAATTTAAACATCAAGTACGACAACATTATCAGTAATTTTATTCGTATGTCATACATATTTTTGGCTATTGTATGTGAATAATGCTGTTCCTAAATTAGTAAGGGTATATTAGTAAATAAGTTAGGGGTAGTTTGTCGCGTGATCATAAAACCTGTTATAGCATCGAAATATTCTCATATTCACAATACATATTCTCATTATCTATTTAATCAAAGTAACCTATAACCGTAGCTAATAAATAAATTGAGAGTTAACTATTTTCTTATTTTTTTTTGTCTTGTACGTCTTCGCATGTTGAGTAATAAAGCAAGCAATTGCCGACCTTCCAAAAATCTCTTCGTACCTAGCGTAAGGGCGCTTGTGCACTACACTGAATTTTCATGTCCGGCGGTCCGATTTTTTCAGGTCCGATATGTCAGGCCATATGTAGGTAATGCGCGCTTGTGCACTGTCAGGAATTTTACCGTCCGGAATTTTACTTTTCTCTATTCCGGACCGGTTTTTTCAGGTCCGAGATGGCGGCAATGAAAAACGTGTTTACGCTTGTGCACTGCTGCGTCCGAGATCCGGAAAATTCATAAGGAATAGGCTTGGGAAAAAATTATTGATTTGAATCGATATTTATTTCGGCAATATTGTTAATTTCCAATAAACTTATAATCGATATTTATTGTTGATTATAAAATGCTATATTTTATATGATGATTTAATATAGTTGGTACATATCACTGCATATGTTTTGGCATATGCTCGGTATAGTTCTAATTTGATCAGCGTATGGTTCTAGTATCGATACTTAGCTAGATTTTAGAATCGTATTAAAAGTATCGATAGCTTAAGGTAAGATAAATAAGTGTTGTTACGCTTAGACGCCTAAACAACTGAACTCATCTAAATGGAAATTAATGTAGTAAATAGACTTAACTTTAAGAAAGGACATAGGCTACATTTTATCGCGAAAAATAGGGGATGAAAGTTTGCCTGGAAATTTGTCAATATCAGTTTTTTTTTAGACAATTGATAAATATAGATAAATATTTGACAACAGAAGTAATAATAAAGAATAAACAGAAGATTAACAAAAGTAATTAAGTGACACTCAATGTCTTCTTCGCATTTAATAAAATTTTAAATGTATGTTTGTGTCATTAACGAATTAAAAAAAAATAAGTATTCTAAGGGAATAATATTTCTGCTCAAAGAAACTACACTACGCGTATAAAATTATGCCTATATATAATATAGTCAACTGATCTCGTAAAGTTCATTTAGCATAATAATTCTCCGCTAACACGGCACTAATTTCGATTTGTTTACGAAATGGCGCCACCGATTGGTCTATCTCTGTAATCGCTGAAAGTTGTTTTTACAAAACTTCGAAAAAAAAAATAGCACGTTTAAACATTTAAACATCAAGTACTAGACCATTATCAGTAATTTTATTCTAATGTCACAGATATTTTTAACTATTGTATGTGAATAATGCTGTTCCTAAATTAGTAAGGGTATAAGTTTTTACATCTGATAGTAGTCATGCGATAGTAGTAAAAAAATAATGCTTAATTCGTCTTGCCATAATTTATTATGATTTATGTAAAACGATCAGATCATTATTTAGGTACCTTTCTACGTCTTCGAACGGAATTACCGACATTCCAAAAATCTCATCGTACATAGCGTAAGTGACGTGTAGCTTCAAAGAGAGCTGCCCTACACTGCGCCGCTCCGATCAGGAAAAAAACGGACAAGTGCACAAGCTACTCATCCGAGTTTTTCATGTCATTCCGGACCGGAAAAAATCGGACCGCCGGACCTGAAAATTCAGTGTAGTGCACAAGCGCCCTAAGGGATGTGTAGCCTCAAAGAGAGCTGTCCTAAACTGCCCCGCTCCGATCCGGAAAAAAATGGACAAGGGCACAAGCTAATCATCCGAGTTTATCATGTCATTCCAGACCGGAAAAAATCGGACTACCGGACCTGAAAATACAGTGTAGTGCACAAACACCCTTATTGCCAAACTATAAAATATTGTTTTATTAGTTATTTGGCATTATATTCCAAATAAAATGATCATAATGTATTAATTTGCAATGGTCAACGACAACCGCATGCGGCGTGCGGGCGATATTCCGCAATTAATTAGTCACTCATTATCATTATTGACCGATCCAATAAGATGAGTGCGCACAGGTCGCTAGCACTCCGCATACTGAGCCCGTCGACCAATGTAAATGAGCTAATTATTGAGTAGAGCCACAATTTGTGCATTTCAAAGTCGTGTTGTTATATTTTAGTCACAAAAACGCATTCTATTGAAGTTCTCGAAATGAGTACCAACCAGGGCAAAGGAAAGGGTTTTGCTTGGAGGAGACTTCTGGTTGTGCTGAGACGGTCACACCGCGAGTGCCCGCGGTCCGTGTCCGTGTCCCTGTCACATCTGGCACCACGCCGGCTGATAACGTGGCAGCTGGAAAATATTTATAAACTAAGGGCGCTTGTGCACTACACTGAATTTTCAGGTCCGGCGGTCCGATTTTTTCCGGTCCGGAATGACATGAAAAACTCGGATGAGTAGCTTGTGCACTTGTCCGTTTTTTTCCTGATCGGAGTGGCGCAGTGTAGAGCAGCTCTCTTTGAAGCTACACGTCACTTACGCTATGTACGATGAGATTTTTCGAACATCGGTAATTGCGTTTGAAGACGTAGAAAGATACCTAAATAATGACCTGGATCATTTTACATACGCCATAATAAATTGAGACAAGACGAAAGCATTTTACTACTATCGGATGACTACTATCAGATGTAAAAACTTATACCCTTACTAATTTAGGAACAGCATTATTCACATACAATAGCTAAAAATATCTGTGACATTAGAATAAAATTATTGATAATGGTCTAGTACTTGATGTTTAAATTTTTAAACGTGCTATTTTTTTCGAAGTTTTGTAAAAACAACTTTCAGCGATTACAGAGATAGACCAATCGGTGGCGCCATTTCGTAAACAAATCGAAATTAGTGCCGTGATAGCGGAGAATTATTATGCTAAATGAACTTTATGAGATCAGTTGATTGTATTATACATAGGCATAATTTTATACGCGTGGTGTAGTTTCTTTGAGCAGAAATATTATTCCCTTAGAATACTTCTTTTTTTTAAATTTCTTAATGACACAAACATACATTTAAAATTTTATTAAATGCGAAAAAGACATTGAGTGTCACTTAATTACTTTTTTTAATCTTTTGTTTATTCTTTATTATTACTTCTGTTGTCAAATATTTATCTATTATCAATTGTCTAAAAAAAAATTGATAATGACAAATTTCCAGGCAAACTTTCATCCCCTATTTTTCGCGATAAGATGTAGCCTATGACCTTTCCTTAAGTTAAGTCTATTTACTATATTAATTTCCATTTAGATGGGTTCAGTTGTTTAGGCGTCTAAGCGTAACAACACTTATTTATCTTACCTTAAGCTATCGATACTTTTAATACGATTTTAAAATCTAGCTAAGTATCGATACTAGAACCATACGCTGATCAAATTAGAACTATACCGAGTTTGCCAAAACTTATGCAGTGATATATACCAACTATATTAAATCATCATATAAAATATAACATTCATATAAAATATCGATCATAAGTTTATTGGAAATTAACAATATTGCCGAAATAAATATCGATTCAAATCGATTATTTTTTCCCAAGCCTATTCCTTATGAATTTTCCGGATCTCGGACGCAGCAGTGCACAAGCGTAAACACGTTTTTCATTGCCGCCATCACGGACCTGAAAAAACCGGTCCGGAATAGAGAAAAGTAAAATTCCGGACTGTAAAATTCCTGACAGTGCACAAGCGCGCATTACCTACATATGGCCTGACATATCGGACCTGAAAAAATCGGACTTTTTTCCGGTCCGGAATGACATGAAAAACTCGGATGAGTAGCTTGTGCACTTGTCCGTTTTTTTCCTGATCGGAGCGGCGCAGTGTAGGGCAGCTCTCTTTGAAGCTACACGTCACTTACGCTAGGTACGATGAGATTTTTGGAACGTCGGTAATTCCGTTCGAAGACGTAGAAAGGTACCTAAATAATGATCTGATCGTTTTACATAAACCATAATAAATTATGGCAAGACAAAAGCATTTTTTTTACTACTATCGGATGACTACTATCAGATGTAAAAACTTATACCCTTACTAATTTAGGAACAGCATTATTCACATACAATAGCTAAAAATAACTATGACATTAGAATAAAATTACTGATAATGGTCTAGTACTTGATAATTAAATTTTTAAACGTGCTATTTTTTTCGAAGTTTTGTAAAAACAACTTTCAGCTATTACAGAGATAGACCAATCGGTGGCGCCATTTCGTAAACAAATCGAAATTAGTGCCGTGTTAGCGGAGAATTATTATGCTAAATGAACTTTACGAGATCAGTTGACTGTATTATATATAGGCATAATTTTATACGCGTGGTGTAGTTTCTTTGAGCAGAAATATTATTCTCTTAGAATATTTCTTTTATTAGTGACACAAACATACATTTAAAATTTTATTAAATGCGAAAAAGACATTGAGTGTCACTTAATTACTTTTGTTAATCTTCTGTTTATTCTTTATTATTACTTCTGTTGTCAAATATTTATGTATACTTATCAATTGTCTAAAAAAAATTTGATAATGACAAATTTCCAGGCAAACTTTCATCCCCTATTTTTCACGATAAAATGTAGCCTATGTCATTCTTAAAGTTAAGTCTATTTACTATATTAATTTCCATTTAGAGGGGTTCAGTTGTTTAGGCGTCTAAGCGTAACAACACTTATTTATCTTACCTTAAGCTATTGATACATTTAATACGATTCTTAAATCTAGCTAAGTATCGATACTAGAACCATAGGCTGATCAACATTTTTAAATATTTAACAACATCACATACAATGCTCAGATTCCAAGATGAGTAGCTAAAGCCCCCGTATTATGGAGTATCTAAGACAACGAAGGTATCACAACACCCAGACCCGAGTCAATATAGAAAAGTTTATTTTCTACCGACCGGGAATCGAACCCGGGACCTCAGAGATGGCGACACCTTGAAACCGGCGTGCGAACCACTCGGCTGCGGAGGTCGTGATCAAATTAGAACTATACCGAGTTTACCAACTATATTAAATCATCATATAAAATATAGCATTTTATAATCAACAATAAATATAAAATATCGATTATAAGTTTATTGGAAATTAACAATATCGCCGAAATAAATATCGATTCAAATCGATTATTTTTTCCCAAGCCTATTCCTTATGAATTTTCCGGATCTCGGACACAGCAGTACACAAGCGTAAACACGTTTTTCATTGCCGCCATCACGGACCTGAAAAAACCGGTCCGGAATAGAGAGAAGTAAAATTCCGGACGGTAAAATTCCTGACAGTGCACAAGCGCGCATTACCTACATATGGCCTGACATATCGGACTTGAAAAAATCGGACCGCCGGACATGAAAATTCAGTGTAGTGCACAAGCGCCCTAACACTGATCTTCGTTGTAAAACACTTTTATACATGACGTAGTCAGCTGGGTCCTTGAATTGTGCATCATACACGAATAATAATTTTGACTATATTGACTTTTTTTCAATCTCAACAAAAGACCTAATAAAACACTAATGTAGTGCAAATTAGCAGTCATTAGACTTCCGGCACGAGTACTAATTCACCGCACTGAGGTGTATTATACTACATACATACTCGTATACTCTTACTAGGTTCCAACTAATATTGTTTGTGTTTTGGTCTTGATATATCTTAACTTCAATAAGTAGAGGAGAATGAGTAACAGTGAATCAGTGGATTATTATTCTCTATATAAAAGTGTATATAAGTCCCATACAAAAAAGTGTATAGTACCCATATCCCTCTCCTTATGTACCTACTAGTCGACATAAGCACGCATGTTGCACTCCGCTAAGTGGGGGCTAATTTTGGTATCTAATTTTGATATGCATCTTATTCCAAATTCGATGAAAACGATGTCGTTTTGTTTTTGAAATAAAGCTTTTTTTAATCTTAAGTATATCTTTTTATATTAGATCAACGTAACTTTTTCTCGTGATTCACTATGATTGTGAACTTAATTTTGGTTGGCACTTATAACACGATGTCATGCTTTGGATTGGCTTCAGTTTTAAGTTTCTTGATTTTATCTGACAAATAGTTACCTGTATTTTCTCCGAATTTCTGTATGATTTCATCGGCTTCTGCCATGAGTAGCTGATCGGCAGGTGATAATTCTGTTCCTCTGTAATAAAATAAATAGTTATAATTATATATAATAAATATTATACGCATTATATTTTAAGAAAGCTATTTAAAATATAACAATTAAATTACCTTAAGGCAATATGTATAGATCTCGAAGTACTTGCAGAAATACTTCTTGCGACGCTTGCACGTCCTCTCATTGACATTCTTTCGCCTGTACAATAAAATCCAACATTCGTTCAGGTTGACTGGTAGAGAATACCCTTGGCATTAAATCCGCCATTTATATGTTTTTTTTAATACAATAAAGAGTAAATATACATACAAACTGAATTTAAACTCTCAACGTGAACGCTATAAAAAGAGTCACGTTAAAATAAAACAAACCCCCATACCCCTTCTTTTCAACACCTTCTTTTCGATATCGATAAAATAGACAAATGTTAATATCAAATACTTACCACGAGTGCCTTTAACGCTAACTTGTTGAGACAAAACAGTTTGACAGTCATCTTGGGACGAAGTTTCTAGTTGCTCAGATGCTATTTCCATACCGACACATATAGGACAAAAAGCATAATTCAGAAATGTTTTGCACAGGAGTTCTGTATCCTCTTCTGCTTGTATTTCTAGAGCCTAAGGAAGAAGTAAAACTTATTTATGCCTTTAGTTACAATTGTATTATTTTAAATAATAAGTTTTTTTGCTACATTATATTTCTAATATAAATTAAATAAAAGGACTCGATAACAAAGGGGAATATTCGTCGGAATACCATTGGTAGATAAAAAGTACGTAAGTAGGTACAATTTTGAAGGTTGGCGGCCTGCCACTTAATACCTGCCCTTCTCGCTTAACGAGACTTTAAATGATTTTGTATGCAAAGTGCAATATCTCATTTTTTTCAACGTATTAAAAATACCTTCATTATTATATTTGATCAATTTTACATTCGCTTATACTATACTTTATTACTGAAAAATATTCTTAAAAAAATAATTAAAAATCCTTTTTGCCTGGCACTCTAAGATGAGCCTCGAACCCATGAGCTATCGCAATCCAGGCGACTGCCTTCATGTTCACTTAAACATCTTTAATTATTTCAATTTGATATTTTTCTCCATTTGACGAGGATGATTACCATAAATATAGCGTCCAATGTGCACAGATTTCTTGCAGATAATGGGTATTTCTCAATGAGTTTAAATAATCGATCTTCAACTAGAAATCCTGTATTATCTGCCACTAGTTGAAGAATATGACGAACCTGAAAGTTACCAAAAATCTTATTGTATGGAGGCCAATGAACGACTTATTGTAATAAAAAAAATTGGTCGCGCCGTCGGTTAAAATATTTAAAAAGTATTTATGAAAATTGCAATAGGTACGTATACCTACAAGAACCAATGAATGTTATACTTAATTGCTTAAGGTAAAAAAAAGTTTTCATAAAGGGCAATTTATAAAACGCATAGCAAAAACAAACTCCTCGTGACATATTCAACAAATCGTACTTCAAAAATCAAGAAGTTCGATATACTGGTTTATCCTAAGTTTGACCAAAGTCTTTCGAAAAACTCCAAATAAATTCGAATTCTAGCCTTTGACTAAAGTATTTTTCTTATCCTTATTACTAAAGTTATTTTCAATAAATCCATATCATCAGGTATATTACCCCACTTATGAAAGGATACGCTGATAGTCCTTCTTCCAAAAAAATCAAACCCCACCTTAGTCTCAGACTTTCGTCCTATTGCCATCCTACCTTTTCTATTCAAAGCTTTGGAGCGTCTTATTTACAGGCAGTTGAGTGACTTTCTTGTTCGCAATAAGCTCCTTAATCCTCTCCAATCGAGATTTAAAGCTGGACATAGTACCATCACTAATCTTGTAAATATCTCTGACTACATTCGCGCAGGAATGGGGTAACAAATGTTCACAGTGTGACATTACTAGACTTCAGTAATGCTTTCAGCACTGTTGTCTATGATATTTTGTTGACTTTCCTCGGTTCTTTAAACATTTCTCCAACGGTAAGACTGGTTTCGTAGTTATCTACATAGGCGTCGATAGTGCAATAGGTTTTGATGAATCTCTTTCATGGTGTTTGGTGTCTGCCTTGGGGTACCAAGGCGGTGTAATATCTCCTTTATTATTCGCAATTTTTGTTATTTCCTCATTCAGATAAAGTGCGTAAGTTTTATTGTTTTATTTGCCCAAATGCCCAAATATCATGGCGGCCACAGATTGCCGAAGTCAGCAGAAAAATGTTTGCTACAGCCGGGTCCCTTAGACGTTTGCGGAACTTTTAACCCACTACTACCAACTCTTCTTTTGTCTATTCTTGATAACGACGATGCTTGCTATCCTGATCTTTATTTTGATCTTTTTAGTAAACGCGAGCGCCTCCAAAACCTTGAAATCTGATTCATTTTCAGGCTCCCAATTTCGCCTCCAACTCCAATGGTAACGAAGATATTTACATATTCTCTCCCTTCTCTCCTCTGTGTTGTTCAATCCAAAATGACCCTTTTATCTATCTTCCTAAACTCTCATAAACCTATTTTATATATACATTTTTATTTTCATTTTATATACTAATTTGATTTTTCCCTAACTTTGTGCACGACCCACAATCACCTGCCACCAGTATCAATCAACAGGTTGCCTGGAAGAGATCGCTGTTCAGCGATAAGGCCGCCTATAACACAACTGTAGTTAATATTATTGTTTGGACTTTACTATATATTTATATTTACTTTTTTGTGCAATTAAGTGTCATAATAAATATAAATTGTTAGTCAAACGTAGAAGTACCTAAAGAGAATTTGATTTTTTGTTTGTCTGCATCGAATATCTTCGAAACTTATTTTAATAATTATTTTATGTACAGGAAGCTACATTAAATGAGGTTAATAATTAGTAGCTGTAATGAATGTTCTAAATTAGAAAATCTAAATCGGTAACGTCGCTTAAAACTAATAGCTATTTTAATGGAAGTTTATGCAACTGCATGTGCAATTGTTAATTTACCCGGAAAAGTCGCGGGAAAATACCTAGTGTTCTATAATATGGTGGGAAGTTTTAATAAAAATTACCAATCTATCTTTTGCTTCCACGGCCAACATGTTTCCAGGGTCCACATTTTCCTTGTACTTAACGACTGATGACGAATTCGTTGGCTCTTCTTCGTTTTCTGCAATGTAAACGTTCTAGAGCTACTTAAGTATTTTGCCATATTTTATGCTTCATATCAAATTTAATGAAAAGTTATATTACCAAGCTTATATAAGGGGCTTTTTGGTGGGGGCGGTGGCGGCGGAGGTGGCGGTTCTGAAAGTATATGTGCGTGCAGCGCTACTTCCGCCTGACGTACCTCACGAGCCAATTGGCTGCACCTTGCTGTCGACATACGCCATACCTATAATCATATTCTTATTTATATGGTACTGCATACGAAAAAATAATGAAAACATTTTTCGAATGCGTGGAGGATTCGTTGCAAAAGGTATATTTCCTGTTGCCTGTTTTTAAGGTCTTCATCTTATATGTCTCGGGTTCGATTTTCGGTTGGCTCAATGTAGAAATGGAGTTTTAGTGCCTTCATTATCTGTGACCATCTGAGACATTCCATAATACGCGGGCTTTAGCTACTCATCTCGGAAACTGAGCATCATATGAGATATTGTCTAATATTTATTTATTTATATTCTACGTCTACTACGTCAACTTTAGATATTTGTTGAAAGACAGAAGTGTACTTCACTAAAGAGAAATAATTATTTTGAATAACAATCGAGGCACCTGGCTAAACTTGTAGTGGTTGACATGAGAGAAATGAAAAGACTTTTTCTCCAAGTCGTCCATAGCTTGCATTAGTTTCACTATTTCTTGATCTGCTTTAATTTCCTCAATTGCACCATCTTCGGCTGCTTTACGAATCTTTGCCCGCAACGAGTTAGCAACATCGGACATTTTATTCAATTTCCTTTTTTGTTGAGATCTTACAAATACATTTTCCTCTTCACGTTTCTTCAAAACCTAATGATATGAAACCTTAATTAGTCTCAAGCAAATATAACTATTTGATCACCACCATTTAGAAAATGGCATCATTCATTTCATTTTACGCTCGGTGGTGTAGTGGATATGCGTCGCGGCACGCGATCGTTGTCGTTAAGCAACTTTCGCAAGGGCTTCTCCGTGCTTCGGAAGGCACGTTAAGCCGTTGGTCCCGGCTACGTCGTTGTAGTCGTTAATACCCGCCAATCCGCATTGGGCCAGCAGGAGGGTCATGGCTCATGCTCCTTAACCATCCATAAGTAAGGCCCTGCAGTGGGGACGAAATAAAGGGCTGATGATGATCATTAATTTAGCAATAGGTACCTAGGTTCCAATTAATATTATTTGTTTAATAATTACAGTATTAACCTACAGACCTGATAGTTGTAACCGATTTTCTCTGTATTGATTATGCAAGTTGATTTTAATTTTTCTAATTCCTTTTGCAATTCTTGAATCAATGATTCCAATTCTATTTTCGCATCACGATATTTTTCATGGTGATCCCACATTATAGCTTCTATCTCTTGCTTGTGTTCTTCTAGCTAAAAGTTATTAAAGCAAATTTCCATCAAGATACAAAAGCTATGACTGTACTAACTTATAATTATATCATATAATAAAATACCTGCTCGAATTTATATTCCATATGCGCTACTTCTTCTTTGTCGCGTTGTTTATATAAAGCTTCCCATCTCTTATTATTATGGTCTACCATTACTTCCCGTTCTATATTAATAGCTTGCTCTATAAGAGATAATTGTTTTTCATATGCCCTCTGCATTATCGTTACTTGTTTCTCAATCCTGTCAGAAAGCTCTTTAATGTCTTTATCCTGCGATCAAACATATTAGCGACATAAAAAATTGTTACCATCTTTCCTAGTATTTCAATTTCCTATTTCACTCACTTGTTTATCCAAATCGTCATAGTATGCCTGATCCATTCGTTTCAAATCATCTTTGAGTTCAGTAATAAGCACATTTTTTTGATTAAGTAAATAATCACACTTTTCTTTCTGTTCTTTTATAGCAGCATCTATATCTAGTGGATCTTTTATTTCTAACATAGGTCCCCAACGGTTCGATATTGCCTCATATTGTATTTGAGCTTCTGCTGCTTCTTCTTCGATTTTTTGGTTGGAATCTGAAGTTTTGTATTAAGATTGTACAATACAATAATAATAATTTTTAGTGCACAATAAAAGATAAAAAAGCAAAGGTTGGCTTTTCGTATCTTCGTATATCATATATACTATATGGTTAAATACCTAGGTAGTTCGTTAAAAAGAAATGCTAGTAAGGCGTCCGTATCTATAATAAAATTACCTCTCATTTTATCTGCGAAGAGTGCGCGTCTAATGACCTCGCGTTCATCTGTGGTGACCTTAACATTGGTAACTTTAGCAGCGCCATCGAGAGTTAATCTTTGTAGCTCCTCAGCAGCGGAAGCAGTTGCCTGCTCTATGGGACCTGGTTCTTCATCTAAAGCAGCTTCTTCTGTAGGTTGTTCTGCTCTATATACAATTATTATTACTAAGTACATATTAAAAAACAAAATCCCCCGCCGCTTCTGTCTGTCTGTCTGTTCGCGATACGAATGTACTGGACGGATTTTCTTGCGGTTTTTAACAATAGATAGAGCAATTCTTGAGGAGAAAGGTTTTAGTATATAGTAAGTTTAGGTTTTGTACAAACTGATGATATTACAACGATATTAGTTCAATATGTAGGAAAAAATAAAGCCGATCGGAAGCTTTCCTCGAAAACGCTGCTAAAAACGCTTTTGAGTTATAACAAAACATTGTATGGTGGAATTGTACCTCGTTAATAGATCTACAAAAAAGTCCGCGGTGGTATATGTCTATATTCCAAGGATAACCCACAATAACCATTTTTTACGTATACTTACTTAAAACAGTAAAATAATGGCTTATTTATAAACAACATTGTATCGCCGAAACGTATGTACGAGCACAACTTCAGAATTTCAGTTCTGTATAAGGCGGTACGAAGTTCGCCGTGTCAGCTAGTACCTACTAAAATTAAACAGAACGGAAGTAACCAAAAATATTTATTTATTGTATATATAAATAAAATATTAGTAATCATCATATATATTACTCACATCAAAAGTTAACTAGTTAAAGCTGTTATCATATGGAAGTCAGAAACAACGACACGGTAGGTAGACACGGCTGCAAGTCATACTATATATTGTGGACTTTGTACAGATCGCGCTTACGGTGGTGGTGTGTTCCATCACAAAGGCCGACAACCAACATAGTCGTAGGAAGGTTCCCCCTTCCCGGAATAGCGGGTCCAGAATACTCTGGTGCTCACACCAGAATTTTCTAAACTTCTATGCTAGTATCTATCGCTTTAGATTGATCGAAGTTTCGAAAATACACTATATAATTTAGATTATATATATATGGTAAAGGTATAAGATAAGTCATGCATGTCATGAACGTCCTATATTAATTTTTTAGACGAACCTAGAAGAGAGGAGACTCAGTCACACATCGATGCGTATTGCACTTGTTACATAATTAAACAGGTTCATACATACTAGCCTAGTTCTTGCGGTGTTCCGATAAATTTATTTATATTATTTCATATTTATACGTTGACCTTAGGGATGTGTGTGCAAATGATTAATAATTTGAATAAAAATAAATGATCAATTCCCATTAGGAAATACAGGACTACAGGATATTATAACTTATGATGAATAGCTGGTATGTTTCTTATGGTATGTTTACAAGACGTCCTGTTCTTCTTGTCAGCTAAAAGACGTCCTGAACAAGAAGTAGGGGAAAACTTTTTTTTGGACAATTCAAAAGTGCTTGTAATAAGCCTACTTGAATAAAGATATTTTCATTTCATTTCACTGAGGTAGAATCTGCTAGAGTACGAGTAGGTAACTATAAACAAAAAGGCGCCACAAGTGATTTTGTAGGTTTCAGAACATTGGGTTTAAATTAGTCGCCACGAAGAAAATATTAACAGGGGGTGTAAATTCAAAACACTCTCTCTGCCTATCTCATTGCTTGCTGCACGCGTAGTATGACAAACTCGAGAAACGCTTTTTCTCAATCTTCAGGATGAAACCTTTTCTATTTCAAGTCGGTGAGATATCGTATGGACGCCCCCGAGAAAAATAACATTTGGGTGTAGGTAAAATGATCTCAAGTACGTCATGCTACGCGTGCTGCAAGAACAAAGAATTGCGAAACACGCGTCAAAATTGTTCCAAAAGCAAAACCAATACAATACAAAAAGAATGTGGTAAATAAACATAGTAAATTTCTACAAATAGGTATTAAATGTAAATTAAAATATAAATATTATTTTTTTAAATTCTTGAATTAGTAATTTTTAAGATTCCGTACCCAAAGGGTAAAAAGCGAGGCCTATTATTAAGATACCGCTGTCCGTCACCTGTATCTCATGAATCGTGATAGGTAGAAATTATCAGTTGAATTTATCACAGATGATTATTTATGTTGTAAAAATTGTAAAATACATACCTATTTAAAAGACCTTCCTTACAACAAACTCGGCCAGTTTTTAATAAATAGGTTCTAATTCTAAGTAGTTTCTCGACGGTGAAAGAATTGTTAAAATCGGTTCTATAGTTTTGGCGCATGTTCCATGCAAATAAACGAAAAATCAAATAATTTTCAAAAATCAAAGTTAGAAACTACGTAGTATAGATGAATAATTAAAGCCGCGCTTTTACCCAAACACGGTTTCTTTCTTGTTGGCTACCAAAACCTTAACAATCAAACCTACCCCTACCTTTTCAGAGCTTCTTGTCTGCGTTTAATGCGTAAAGCTCTAGCAGCTTTTCTTTCACCAGGATCGTGTGATGTAACTTGTGGTTCTTTCGGTGCCAAGACATCTTCTTCATCATCATCATATCCTCCAAATTTATTAGCCATTACACAGAACACTTCAACAAATCTTGCATTGTAAAAAACGCTACGAAAAACATAGTAATATATACACCGTTGTCTTAGCAACCGATGTCAGAGAAATTTTATGGATATACCATATAAAAAATGTCTATGGAATAAATATTATAAAGTACTCTTTGCCGTTAATAATGCGGACAAGCGAGCGACGTCACGTTACAGTTTTGAGTAAAACAGGAAAAGATATTTTGTATTGTATTTGTACATTATTACACAAAATTTTAAGAATTTTAATGTAATATGGCCTATATATAGAAGTTTTTAGTCCACTCAAAACCTTTAGAGGCTCACTCTTAGATAAACTTCTGTCATCCTGAGAGTTATTCACTACTTTAGGGTACCATGGAACAAATGAACACAACCAATAAGTGTTTTACCTATTACAGTCAAATGGTCTAGTCTCTCTTATTGACGAAATATAGCACAGAAAAGAATTATATCACGTTTGGGCTGTATTTATAAATACGACATACTTTTTTTTATTACTTACATTTGGATAAAAACCAATTGTTTTTCAGTGATTTTGGTGTATGATCATCGTAAATTAGGAGGGTTACTGGGATTTATTAAAAGAAACACAAGATTTTTTACATTTTCTTTACTTAAAGATTACTTTTTGCTGTTAAGGATGATACCATCATATTTCTGTTGGAACCACTTCATGGCATCCTCTTTTGTCAAACGATGTGGGAAGCCAACCTTACCAGTCTTGCGTCTTCTGTGGGCTACATTGAAACCTGAAAAAAATATTGTAGTTATTTTTATAGCCAAATTATTTTGGCATAATAAAGTTTACCTGAACTTCAAAATATTCTCATTAGTAGTAAAAGTAACAAGTGATTGAGAAATTATCAGTTCCTTTAGATCTCAGGTAGCTCAATGATCAAAGCAGTTGCCGAGATTGGAAAAGGTTGTGGGTTTGTATCCCATTTTGGGGCACCTAGGACTGGTGATATTATTTAAGCATTTTCTTTATTTAGGAAAAAAGAATTCAAAAAGATATATAGAAAAAGCACACTTTGTGGTAACCTGATGGATTTTCTGTTGTGTATACTCTCCATTATCAATAGTTAAGTGATAATATAATTAAAAAATGTGTAAAGAAAAGTGAAAATGCATATTATTATGATAGTTTGTATAGTCATAATATTGATTTAATGGTAATAAATATCTGTAACTGACACTCTATCTTGAGAAACTATGTACAAAGTTATTCAACAAGAGTGAAGTATATAAAATTATTATAGCACACCCTTTACAGAGTGAAAATATCAAATATTACACTCTTGAACAAAATGTGCAGTTTGCTTCTCTCAATATTGAAATGAATCAAAGAAATTTATAATGACCAACAATTTTTCAATTGTCCAACATAAATACAACAATTACAGAATTAGTTATTAAAACTACTCTATAAATTTATTCCTATATTTCCAGTATAATAGTCATTTGTAAAAAATATTGAAAAGATAAAAGTGAAACACTAACCTGGCCTGCCAAGAACAACATAGAAGTCCAAGCCATAGATACCAATGGATGGATCATACTTGATACCCAAATCAATATGTTCTTGGATACCAAAGCCAAAATTTCCAGTGGCAGAGAAATTATCACGTCTTAACTCATATTCTCTGACCTGTAACAAAATAAGATGTTGATAGTTGTCTTAATATATACAGTGAACAATGATAATATAAAATAAACAGAAGTTACCTTTAAGCCTTTTTCAAGAATCTCCTCAGCCTTGGCACCACGGACTGTACAATGGACAGCAATTTTTTCATTACGCCTGATTCCAAAAGAACGCACCGTATAACGAGCTTTAGAGAACACTGGTTGTTGTCCAGTCAGCTGTTCCAACACCTAAAATACAAGAATAAAAAAATATAATTTAGAATTCACTTTATGTTTTTCAATAATCACAGCATTATTAATAAACAAGGCTTAGCATTGAAGTAAATGTATGCTAGGACTGCACTTATTATTAGTCAAAATTCATATTATTAAACAGAGACTTAGGAAAGGTTAATCTAGTATGAGGTTCTACGAGAGTACTATTTTCTCCTAGAATATAGTAGGTTCGCTTATTCTCTTTTTAATATGAACTTGGGACTAATACTAATATTGCAACTTTAGCATAAATTTACTCTAGACGCATAAACCTTTTTATTTATTATTAGCACTGATAGTGTTTAAAAATCCATGACTAGATGCTCAGGCAACTATAATTTTAATGCTTTGTTAGGGACTGAATTTGGACATTGGTGACAATATGATTAATACTTAACTAATGGAACTTATTTATAAATTTAACCAAATAAATCATAAAAAGTACACCACAATGAAATTTTTACAAAACCTTTCCTTTTTTTGTAATTTCTGCGAGTATTCTGAACAGTAAGAAAATAGTGTTCAGAAGTTGCAAATGAGAAATATTAATCTAGCATGATTTACAAAGAATCACAAGAGATGCGTGAACCTTATTTGAACAAACCATGCATAACATAAAAGTAAGGAATGTTTTCTTTAACCAAATTCTACTTACTTTTGCGGCACGAGTTAGCCTGTCACCAGACTCTCCAACACAAATGTTCAGGCATAGTTTCCTTATATGCAGATTTCTCATAACATTTTTGGATTTGTCTTTCGGAATTTTCTTCTCCTTTTTCTCTTTCTTCACAGGCGGTGGTACTCGCTGAAATACATTATAATTTAAATCTCTGTCGATACATACACGAATAATCATACGAAGACAATTTCAATATAAATATTAAGGTTATGTTGAGTTTTCCTTAAACTTATTACACTTAATAACAAAAATAAAACTACATGTATTTTAATTTTATAGTAATATAACAATGTTTACAGAAAAAACTCAACAATAATCACGATTTTCTTAGATAGAAATGGATATAATTTTAAATAAAACAGAAAACCCACCGCCATGGTTACTTATTTCACTGAAAAAGAAAACGTCAAACAAGCTTGACATTGACTTATCAATACATCAGTGTTGCCAGCTTGTAAGTGAAAATAGAGACTAAAATAGACTGTTATTATAAAGGAGAGAGTTCATTAAAACTGATATGCCCACAGATAAATCTACGCACATGCCTGCCAAACCTCGCAACTATAACTTTGTGTAATGTCTGCCAGTGTAGAACCGTCGCAATCAGTCTGGCAGACTTGCTCGTTGTCTGTTCACATGGTCTCATTTTGTTGACTCGGTTCATCGGTAAGTATAATCAATGTTAGAGAGTTAGGATCTCAATATAGCAATATCGTGGGTGTGTGGTGGGAGCCCGACCGCCCGATAACTTTTGTTAGAGCGTTAGGTCCGATTTATTGGGCAATTCGATCGCTGATAGGGCAATAGGGCGCTCAATAGATTGTTGTACGGCATGCGTGCGATAATATTTTATTAAAAGTTCTCGATATATTTATTAAACAGCTGTATTTCAAGGTCATGGTATGCATTACCTGACTCATTAACACTCTGTGTCTTGTTTTTAAATGAACGATGTGACTAAATTAAAGTGATATTCAAATAATGTAGAATTCATTTTAAGATAACTTTTTAAATTTATTTTCATTCAAATCGATTTACTAATTTTGAGGATATAAACTTATAATAGTTTAACTGACAATAATAAAAGGAAAATACTATTTTTTTTATATAAAACCGACTTTAAACAAGTTAAACTAAACCTCTAATGACTTCAACAAATGTTTTTTTTATTCGTAGCTTTTATAGATCTTTTTAAGTTCGATTTTATTTTAGAAATAATGTTTTGATCAATTATTAGAGTACAGGAGTCGTCTTTCCATAGTAGAATGGGCTTTCAGTAAAGAGTGCTTATAAATCTATCTTAGTAAGGAAGGCGGTATAATCAAATCACAACGGCACCAATCACTCTCTATGGTCTTGCAATATAAATATACTCTTTGGTAAATAGAGATAAGGTAGAGTGGAAATATTTTCTATGGTTATATAAATATCATGCAATCCATAGATTAATATTGTATTGCAATCTGAAGTTGACATCGAAAACATCATGTTGTCTTTTTTTAACTAATAAGAAGTTTCTTTAGTAAACAAAGATCGCACTAGTGTGACAGTTCAAAATTTTTTACGTGACGTCATGACATATAGCTATCGTACCACCTGTCCGCCATTTGCAAAGTTACAGTGCGTAGGTATTCTCGGAAGTAGTTCAGCTGTCAGTGTTGTAAGTTTTGTGCTTATTTTCATTTATAACTTTAATTTATATTACTTTCATGGCAGAAACTTGTAAATTATTTATGCAAAACAATGCCTAGGTGCAGTGTAATTAGTTGTGCGTCATCGATATCCCGCAAACCGAGCAATATTACGTTTCACCGGTAAGTTAAACACTTTCTTAGAAAAACAGTATTTAAAACGTAAGTAAGTTATTCTGAAAACGATTGCGTGTATAAATCGATACATATCGTATTTTGGCGTGTTCTATTTATGTTATATTGGTCTTTTCGTTTATATTTTTATAATATTTCGGTCCGTAAATAATATTGTTTACATGGCTAGTGTTGTTACTTTAACATTTGGTTTATATCGATAATTTTATTATTTAAAAATATATTCATTATTTTAAATTACCAAAAGATGAAACAAAAAGAGGAATATGACCGAGATCCATTGGAGCAGAAAATATTAAATATAATGAAAAAGTTACTTTTATCTGCTCACTTCATTATAGGGAAAGTTGTTTGAATCGAACTTTAAGTATAATAAAATTACGAGATGATGCATTGCCAATCAAATACGCTGGTAAGAATTTTTGACAATTGCTTTTAACATAATTTTACAATTTTTTTGTCTACTACACTTAGTTAATTTTCATTTGATTTTACTGATTTATTTATTTAGTTTTTTATATAGTCATTTTGTTATTGTAAAAATGTACCTTATTTTTAGTCTTGCGGTCATATGACAACTATTTTAATTGAAAAAAATCAGAATGCTATATATAATAATTATTAAAATATAAAATTCTGATCATAATATACTCCCAGTAAAATTACAATAGAATGAGTTAAATAATTTTAATAAAAATTTAAAGGTTTTATTTGCTGTTCAATAGTATAATCTTAATACCTAAATAATTATTTTGCGGCGTGGCTGTTTATTTTGCTGGTGTATCATAAAATACGCTACCTTTTTGTATTTAAATTGCTGACCGGTATCATGATTGTTCACAGAACATGAATTGCAGACAGTTTTAGTGCTGAGAAAATATTTGTATGCTTGCCCATTGATTTATCGGCTGTTTTCTTTTTGCTAACCAAATTTTTAAATAAAATTCCAATTGTTACTTTTTTAATAAATTATATCACTTTTTCATCTACCAACTTTGTTTTCTTTATTTTCTCTTGTTTATTCATCAAAGTTTACAGTATTTTTATGTTCTTTTACAAATAATATAATACAAAGATTATGTAGGTGTTTCAAGTTTTCTATGTTTACTTCTAAACAAGATGCTCTAAACTAAAATTGTGATACAGTATGCACGGTATCTCACTTAATGAGGAGTAAGCGAAATTTATTCAGTCAATACAATTTATTGAATAAATTTATAGACAAGTTGGGTTACTAGTTATAAGCATATAAGAAAGTCGAAACCCTGTGCTAATAGTTCGTAAATCTATTACGGGAAACCTTGTACCGAGAAAAGAAGAAGGGGAACCGGCAAAACTGCAAGTGCTGCTTTTGCACCCTGTTTAATTTCGTACTGAAAAATAAAAAATGACTTCATTGACCAAAATGTCACTTTCCACTATAACAATAAAAAATATATAACAGAAAAAAAAAGAATTCATTCGTCAATCGACTCATTTAAAGCTTATTATAGTTACCGTGGCAGTTATCTTGGACAGTGGTCACACTTTCCGTGGATGCAAAATTAAACTTATGTTAAAAAAAATATTTAATTACAATTGCAAAATATCAACTTTACAATATATATGGAAATAATTATAAAACACGATTGATATTATTGTTAAACTTTTAAGATATATATTTTGGTACTATAGTTCTTAAAACTACGTAAAATTGTCTATATTAGAGGAAAAAGAAACATATTTATCGAGGTACAATCATATTATAAAATAATATTTATATAGTACTAGCTGACCCGACAGACTTCGTCCTGTCAAAAAGATTTGTAATGTGGCAGTTTTTTTGCCTACGTATTTAAAAAAATTCTCCTGAACAGAACCGTCACCCTGGTGATAGGGCGTTGTGAATAAAAAATAATTAAATAAAACATATATAAGGATTTAAAAGTAAGTAATCGCTTTATTGTTAATCATGTGAATCATAATTATTATTGCAATGTATTAATAGTAATAGTATTAAATATAGAAAAAAGAGATTTTTATGATCATAAAAACACATTACACACAACAGCATTATAAAAGTAAACTATTCGAATTAAAAAAATATATAAACATCTCAAGGAAAAATGCTGGAAGAATCCATCTACCTGTACCCCGGAATGGGACTCGAACCCATTCGCGATCCAGGGACTGCTCTAACCAATGAGCTATCTAGGACCCAACAGCTTTGCTACTACAGAGCGTATTTTCATCAATGTTCCGGCAATACATGTAATGACGTGGAAACTGATGCATTTTATCTCGCGTGCCGAAACTAATACAAAAGAAACGCGAGTTTCGGAACGCGACATTAAACTCCTCCAACTATGTATTCTGTGCTCCAACGCACACACGCACATTGTTTTGATAGATATGATCTTTGACGTTAGGAACACACCTACATTGCTTAGACAACAGTGAGTGCTTGTAATTCAATATGAACTTTATACCATAGCAATAAAGCTCAAATTGACTACGTTTTAGTTACAAATCATTTCTATGGGAAAAAGAAAAGGGCTATTTTTAGGGTTTTTCCAGCAATAATTCTAATTTTTCTCGCCGTAAAAACCATCCTTGAACTTCAACGAACATTTTAAAAAAAGATTTGGCCAAATTGGTCGAGGCGTTGTTGAGTTATGCGCTTACCAACACATTTTGCGATTCATTTTTATATATATATAGATAAATGTGAAAATTTGTGAGGATGGATGTTGGTTACTCTCATGCAAATACTACTGAACGGATTTTGATGAAATTTGGAATACGAATAATCTTTTACCAGTGGGAAGCGCCATCATATGCTGGTAACATAGGTTATAATTACTATACTGACGCAACGGAGTCGCAAGAACAACGAGACTTTTAGATGTCCAACAAAACACGAGCAAAAGATAATAAATAATTGATAAATTCACGCCACTTTAAACAAAATATTATTTCCTTAAAACTGGCGTGAATTTATCTATTTAATTAATAATAATCATAAATAGGATTGGTACGCAAGTGTGAAACGAATAGAAGTATAATAGGTAATAGTTTAGCCATGCCCCTAACAATGGAAATTATATTACTTTATTTAATAAGTAGTAGTTTTGTAGCAGTTTCACGAAATACTAACCTTTATTTAATATGACTTCAATGTCGATACAAATATCGATATCATGGGTCGCGCCCTATGACAGTCCGCCATCGAAGAATTTGCATTTGAAGTTTAGGCATATACGCTTTTTTCGTAGGTATGGCCGGTCCTCTTCTTATATGTCTATGGGAAAAATAGGAGGCCCATGGCTCTTTAAATAATAAGATAGCGCTAAATTAAAAAAAAAATGTTCTCATATTTCTGAGGAAAATATAGATATTTCATCGTTTTAGAGGATTTAAGTTGTATAATGAACATATTGAGGCACTTTTAAGAGAATAGTCCAAGTCCCTATTGATATCATGAAACCGAGCAATTAACAATTCGATCAGTGTCGTCATCTTTGAAGTTCCAAGTTGATTCTCGATCAAGTCGGTAGAAAATATTAGTTAAAATATTATTTCGAATCCGGGCGATATTGTCGTTAGTTA